GGTGTGGTGGTGGTGGTGGTGGTGGTGTGTGTGTGTGTGTGTGTGTGTGTGTGCTGATAGGGTGTCCTGTTTAGAGCACTCATTCTCTTATTTTTAGCACTTTGACCAGTTGCACAGCTCTCTATTGCCTGCTGTCCCCTGCAAAAGAGGCTCCTCTGACCAGTGTTGAGAGCAGCACAGATCTACGGGCCTATACCTAAATATCTAGAAGGCAATTTGACAGCACCACCATTATGTTAATGAGGAAACTGTCTCGCTGTTTCAGCTGCACAGAGTTCTCAGCTCTTAGGTTAGGTAACTGGGCTTGAAGGATTTGGTTAGTGATGTCTGAGAGCTTCATTTAAAATAAGAATTATTTTTCTTAGTAAAGCGCTAGAAAATGTTCCAAATCTTAGACTGTGCCAGTGATTTCCCCGCAGGGATCTTACATTGTCCACAGCGGCAGCTTCAGCCTAGAGAATAACAGGAAAAATGTCTCAGGCACCAGTTCGTAACTGTGGTTTTAAAGCCATGCTTTTGTCAGTGTCTGGTTCTGCCCACTTATGGAACTCTGACATTTTTCTTAAAAGATACATTTTCTAAAACTTGGAAGCCCAGGGTTTTGAAATAGGAAAATAGTTTCTCTCAAAATATTAATTTTTTTCCTCCTCATGTTCCAGAAAGAATTTGAACTATGGCTTCTAGTAGGATTAACTATTAAAAAATATAATAAATTTTTTGTTAGATTTTTGTGCATGTCATACATCTTGATCACATTTAAATCCCCTCCCCTAGCTGCATCCCCCATAGTACCCCATGGATTTCATGCATTCTGCTAAATATGTTAAGGCCTATGGAGTCACTGCGGCCTGGTCACCCTATCTAGCATCACTCCCTTAAAGACCAACTCACCCTTACCCAGCAGCAATCAGCTGAAAATAGTTCCTCACCTAAGTTTTGGGCTTTAAAAGAGAGAAATTTGATTTTAAAAATTAAGGAATCTAAATTCTGATAAGCATCAACCATTTTCTTTTTTAAAAAATATTTATTTTATTTTATTTTATTTTATGTGTATGCATGTATTCCCTGCATGTAGGTAAGTGCACCCGTATCTTGCAGTGCCCGTGGAGGATGGAACAGGCTGTTGGATCCCCTGGAACTGGAGTTATGAACAGTTGTTAGCTGCCATGTGGGTGCTGGGATTCGAACCCAGGTCTTCTGCAAGAACAGCCAGTGTTCTTAACCACTGAGCCATCTCTCCAGCCCCCATCAACTATTTTTTATGCCACTCCTTTCCATAGTATTTTTTATTTTAGTCTTTAATTCTATTTTAGTAACATCCTTAAAACAGTTTTAATTTCTCACAGATTAGAGTATCAGTTCTACTTGTGAGTAATTGTGTTTTGTCACTTATTACTAGCCAACAATGATGAATCCTGCTAGGGTGACACCCTCAAATACAGTCATGGTTCAACTCTGAGCTCCATTCGATGATAGGTTTGTTGATGTATTAAATACATATTTCAATTAAACTATATTTGCTATATACCTAGCCTACCACACAGCGTAGCTTGGCATCATAGTACACTGTGGGTTCTGGGTGTTAACCTGTGACCACATGGCTGTCTTTTAGCTGTGGCTCACTACTGTGTCTTGATAAGCATCATATTGCATGTTCCCAGCCTGGAAACAGACCAGAATTCAAAATTCAAATATTTATATCATTATAAAGCTTAAAAATCATAAGTCAGTCATTGTAAGTCAGGGAAGGTCTATAGTCAGCTTTTCCTTTTTCTGTGCTGTTTAAAAGCTTCATTTAAAATAATTTTCCCCTGCATAAGAAACTCTTAGCATTAAAATGTTCCATAATATTCCCCTGTATATTCGATATTACATTGTTCTGACCTAGAAGAGGTGGACTGCAGCCATAGGTCAAATATAGCCCATCGTCTATACCTGTGGCCCACGAAATGGTTTTAAATAAATATTTAACAGCTTTAATTTTGCCTTTTGGCTTCCCGAAGCCTAAAATATGGCCTGGAACTTTACAAAAAATAAATTTGCTGACCTGTGTTCTAATGACTCATGTTTTGTGCTTATTAATGTGTATGATTTGGTCTTGGATTTATGCAAATTGAGGTGCTATGGAACAAGCTGCAGGGGTAAGCCTGTGCTGTTGTTGAGTTCCCAGACTGGGGACTGTGTGTGCTTGGGGTTTCTTGCTTTTCTCTCACCCTGTGTTACGTTCAGGCCAACTTGGTAGTGCAAGAGAATCGCCATGTCCTGGCCATGCAGGACCTGCAGAAAGCCCAGGCTGAGCTGGATGACAAGCAAGCGGAGCTCGATGTGGTACAGGCGGAGTATGAACAGGCCATGACCGAAAAGCAGGTAGTTACCCTCTGGCATGGGAGGGATGGCAGCTCTTGTAAGCCCTCATTCCTGTAGTTTCTTTCTTCATGGGCTTGGTTCCGAGTAGGGATTCACTGAGTTTTATACATAATACAAATACAGCATATGGTCCTTCACAGAGCCCTGGACTTTGTTTCTAACAGGCACCACAGGCTTTGAGGAGATGTCAGGACGGCCCACTAAGGTGGCAGCCAGTTCAGGACATGATGGTTCCAGGTTTCCTTTCTCATAGGGAAGGTGATAATACTGGCACATTGTGCACATTTTTTTGTGACATTTCCAGAATAATCTGTTCCCACACTGTCACCTTTAATTTTTGAAATAGTTTTGAAAGAGGAAGGTGATAATACTGGCACATTGTGCACATTTTTTGTGACATTTCCGGAATAATCTGTTCCCACACTGTCACCTTTAATTTTTGAAATAGTTTTGAAAGGGTCAGTAAGCTGGTTACTTTTATCTGTCATAAAGCAACCAAGATCCAAGTAGGTCAAGAGAAAGGGTCCTGACTCTAATCTGGTCGCTCACAGCCCATGCTGGACTTTCATATTTTAATGTTACCTTAAGGCCTCTCTGCTGGATGAATGTAACTGACCATATGAGCATACTCCAATGACAGTGACCATCTACAGACTTCTCAACCTGTGTAGATTTTGGAACTTTGGCAGCTTTTAGAATTTAGGTTCATACATGTGCCATCTGCTAGCTTCATTTAATTTAAATCAGTTCTATTGGGACCTCCTTCCTTCTGAAAATCAAAGTGGGTTTAATATAGAGCTAAGGTAATTTAAGCTTCAGGGTTCCTTACATGCCTAGGTAGCTGTGATTGACTGGAGAGGGAGGCCAGGTAGGGACCAGCAAACTTCTATATGATAATAATTTGGTAAAATGCTTAGAAAAATCACAGAGAAAAGACGCTAGAGTTTCTAAGTCATATAAGCTTTAAAAAAATTTTTTTCTCTATTCTAAATAACTTTGTATATTCTAAATAATATTTGCAGAAAGTCTCTAGTGATTTGCTTTAAAGTGCTCCTATCCTTTGATAAATCCTGTATCTGTCAACTGAGAGTCAGATTCGGTCTTTGAACATTTTATGGAAATAGGTGCTTCCCAGCTTTCCTCTGTCCAGATTAAGACCCCACCTCTAGCTTTCACTCCACTACAAGCATTCATTCCACTCTTAAAGATAAGTCTCCTGAAAGCTCAGAGCCTTTCAAAAGGAGTTTTACAAGAGTAAGCATGCAGCACCTACATGGATTTGTGTATTTATACTTATAGAATTCACTTAAGGAGAAAAAGAACAGTGTATTGTAAGACTCTACTTTAAAAACCAGGATGAAAAAGAAGTATTGATTTCTGGAATTTTTGAAATTCTCTTATATCTGGAGGCACTCCTGAATAATCTTGTTTAAATTTTGGCATTGTTTGCATTAGCTCATTCAGTAAGTTTTTTACTTTGTTACTATTTTGAAGCATCGGATTGCTAGTTGAATTATAGGAACACAGAAGAGCTACTATTGTGAAAGTATGACCATGCCTTTAAACTTGAGTTTCAACAATTTCTTTAACTAAGAAAAAACATCTGGCCATGAGCTGCTACCACCAGACTCTGCACATGACCTTCATTTATTTTTTCCCTCATCCCTAGAGCTCGATGAAGGGCCAAGGGGCTTGAGAACCACCCAGACTGGCTCTAGTCTTCAGTTCATTGTAATCCAGGCCTGCGTAGTCCTATGGAACAGTGTCCTGGCTGCTCTCCACACAGGATAGTGTCTTCTTTAGGGCCTGGTTTCTTCTGACGTACTTGCGATATAGTCAGTCCACTGCCCAGTTCAGAGAGAACAGGATTAGGGGGCTGGGACTGGGGATTCTGCACCCAACCCTTAACTGGAACCAGGAGGAACATCCTGCCCATCCCCGCTGTACTATCAGGCATTTAACCACTCTTCCTGTGTCACAGTAACACAGAGAAACTGGGCTCCTAGGGAACAAAGATAGTAAGGAAGGGCCTGGCAGTTTTTTTTTTTGCTTGACTAGAGTGAAGTAAGGATGGGAAATATAGAGAACATGAATGCAATTCAGAATGTTTTTTAAATGAAAAAGAAATTTAAATATTATGTAGACTCACATACCACATAGCTGGCATCTTTCTTCTTGGGGGTAAGCAAATAAACATAGGTGATTCAGGTCTGGGAGCACATCAGACAACTGAGCTCTTGGTTATTTTGCATTAGCTGTAGGAAAAATTCCAGAAAGAAGAGGGGAACAAAATGGATTAAGTATCTTGCTTTTGCAAAGCACTGTACTGTGTTATTCTTACAAAAGCAGCCTGTGCTCATTACAGAAATGGATTTACGTAACTCTGGGGAGGAATACAAATAATGCTTTGCTCTTTATCATTTCGTATCTGAACACGTTATATGTTTTACATATATATATATATATATGTATATATGGGAATGTCTCCACTATCCTATAATGAAAAATACCTCAGTATGTAGACCAGGCTGGCCTTGAACTCAGAGATCCACCTGCCTCTGCCTCCCAAGTGCTGGGACCACAGGCATGCAACCACCATGCCCAGCTGTTTTACATGTATTTTAAACCCACTTAAAAATAGAGTACTCAGCAATACTGTTTTATAAACTAAGTTATTAATAAAATATTATGATCTTTTTTGGTAATAAAAATGTACAAAATAATTTTTAATCAGTTCAGAGTATTTATATTGATATACCATAATGATTTAAATGGGAATTTTAATAATTCCAATAAAGAAAAACACTGAGACAGTTTAAACTTTCCATACCATTATGTATATTCCCATTAAAATTATCTTGTAAAATTGTGCAGTATGTGTTTGTTGTTATTATTGGACATCAAGTGACTGTTCATGTAGCTAAGTCTAACATACTTTAAGTTTTCACAAGTAGAACCTGTAGTTGTTTCTTAGTTGTAGAGGCAGAGACTGGGAGTATGACTCAGGGACACGGTGCAGGCCTAGCATGCCTGAGGCCCCCAGTTCCATCACCAGCACCAGAAATTGGGGGTGGAGTTAAGTATGGGTTCTGAGCAGCTAAAGTATGTGGAAGTCTGGGTTAAAGTCCTTTTTCTGTCTCAAGGAACGGCAGAAAAAGATCTGTTAAGTCAAACAAGGTTGAAATTTATGCAGGAGTGTTGAGGGGCCACGAGATGACAGTGATGAAAGTTCCTCCTAAATAGATGTGGTCTTAGATAAATTGATGAGTACACCAGGCTTTAACATAAAAGACGTTCTTATATTACTGTGCTATGAATTTCTTTGATGTTTTCTGTTACATGATTCTAGATTATGTGGTTGTACTCATGAGTGATGGAAATTTCTACCAGCTCTCAGCTGTTAACACCTGGGGAGGGTCTGGCTGCTGGGCTCAGGGCATCACCTGGAGGAATCGAACCCCACCACATTCCTTGGACAGAGATCAGAGACAATTATGACAGGGCCATCCCAGACACACAGACTTCTGTGTCCTAGAAGAGGGAGATAGTGTGTTTTAAATGTATGCTTTTTATCTAGAGGGTATAGCCTTCCCAGTAAGGGTTTTCTTCTGGTCCTGGCCTTCAGACTTTGCTCGAAGATGCAGAGCGGTGCAGACATAAAATGCAGACAGCGTCCACCCTCATCAGCGGCTTGGCCGGAGAAAAAGAACGATGGACAGAGCAAAGCAAAGAGTTTGCTGCACAAACTAAACGACTAGTAGGTCTGTAAATGCTCTTGTTAATGAGATTATGTGTTGGCTATGATAGGGAGCCAGAAACTTTAAGCTTCAATCAAGCAATAATTTATTTTAAATTCCAGAGTTTATGTTTGTGGGTCTCTAACCATTTCAGAAGGATGGGTAATGATCTTGCATGTATGCTGTTCTGTTGGGATGGGTTAATGACCTTTCCAAGTCTTATTATCAGGTCACTTTCAAATGCTTCTGTGAGCGCATGGGATATTGATCAAGGGCACTTTGAATGAAGGCTCTTTTTTAAAAATATATATTTTATTTATTTTTATTTTATGTATGTGAGTGTATAGCCTGCATGTACGTGAGGGCACCTGTGTTGTGCAGTGCAGTGGAGGTCAGAACAGGACTTTGGATTCCCCTTGAACTGGAGTTAGGGACGGTTTGTAGCTGCCATGTGGGTGCGGGAATCGAACCCGGGTCCTTTGTAAGAGCAGTCAGTGCCCTTAACCACTGAGCCATCTCTCCAGCCCTGGCTCTGTCTTTTGAGGTTGTGTATCTTCACGCAGAAGTCATTCTCTCTTGCGACACAAGTTAAGGATGACCTGGTGCTTACTTCGAGCTTCTGGCAGTTCTCATATTGTAGGATGTGTAGACTGTATTCAACAGTGAATGAAGTTCATGCTTATTCATCAAGCTGGTGGAAGCCTGTGTTGCTTACATTTCAACTTGTGGAATTTAGGTTAAAAGAATAGGTGTTGTTTTCACTGTTGACATGCTACATAATTGCATGGATGATTATGAAGTATTTTAACAGTGCTTGTTTTCCATCCTAGGGGATGTGCTTCTGGCTACAGCTTTTCTATCCTATGCTGGTCCATTTAACCAAGAGTTTAGAGATCTGCTATTGCATGATTGGAAGAAGGAAATGAAAGCACATAAAATTCCATTTGGGAATGATCTAAATCTCAATGAGCTGCTGATCGATGCTCCTACTGTCAGTGAATGGAACCTCCAAGGCCTGCCAAATGATGACCTGTCCATTCAGAATGGAATCATTGTCACAAAGGCATCTCGCTATCCTTTGCTAATTGATCCACAGACTCAAGGCAAGATCTGGATTAAAAATAAAGAAAGTCAAAATGAACTCCAGGTGATTTCTGTTTTGCTTATATTTATATTACCAGTCAAATTGTATTTGTCTAAATTACTGAGCTCAAGAAGAAATATTTGGATGTCTTACAGATAATTCAGACTCCTCAGTAAAGCTGTGACAGGTGCAAGTTTATATTTAATGGTAGAATACTCTTTACGACCTCATGATTTGCATTGTATACCGATTTGCATTTCTACCAATGTGATCTTTCAATGTTTCAGACTCTTCTCTCTTAGGCTCTCCTGGATAACCAGAGAAAGCAGAGCTATGTCATACCACATGTACAGTGCTTACAAACACTCTTCCTGGTTGTTCAATGATTATTTGTCCCAAAGTTACCTTGTGATCCCATCCCATTTTTAGATCACATCTCTTAACCATAAGTACTTCAGAAACCACCTGGAGGACAGCCTTTCTCTTGGAAGGCCCTTGCTTATTGAAGACATTGGAGAAGAACTAGATCCTGCTCTGGACAATGTTTTAGAAAGAAACTTTATTAAAACAGGATCTACCTTTAAGGTAGGTGAAACCTATTATAACAAAATACAGAACAATTGCTTGTGTCCAGGTAAGTAAGATGTAGATGGGATTTTCTTAAAGAGCTAAAACTTAGATTGCAGTCAGTGGGGACAGGAATTTTTAATTTTTGCTCTTCTTAAGTTGAAACTAAGTTGTCCAAGAGCAATCCTTTAAAGAATATCTATTTTACTCTCGTAATAAAGAACCTGACTCAATTTGATATTTGACTCCCGACAACTTTAAGACCCTTCATGTTGCTCCTTACTTCTGTACCACATTTGGGTAAACTCATATGAAAGCCTGGGGTTCTATATGGCACTGCTTAGAAATTCAGACCACACAAACTCTATCCATGTGTGGGAGCCCTCATCCGTACCCAGCCCCTATCATAAAACCTCTACCAGCACCCTCTCCTTGATCTCTTAAACCATTTTTAGGTCTTGCTTGGGTGACTGTTCTAATATTTGACCACCCCCCAACTTCTCCCCTGTCATAAAACCTCCACCAGCAGCCTCTCCTTGATCTCTTAAACCATTTTAGGTCTTGCTTGGGTGACTGTTCTAATATTTGACCACCCCCCAACTTCATTATGTGAATATTTTGCAGTCTTAACTTCTGAGCAAATCATGGCTAGTCTCTGTCTAGCTTCTGGGTTTGGTTATAACAGTTTTGATGCCAAGTTCCATATTTATTACGTGGTATACGTTGGAGTCCATTGCTACCTCCCTTCTCTTTCTCTCTTCCTCTTCCTTCTCCTTTCCTCCCTCTCTCCCATCATAGTGACTCGGAGTTCTGTGAGTAGCTAATGGCAATTTCTTTTTGTGTTTTAGTATACATACTATCTCCAGTTACAAATTGGTCAAAATGTTATTTGACCCAACATGAAAAGGACCCATGTGTATCTGTATTTTGTTTCTCTTGTGTTTTGCTTTTCAGGTAAATGTTGGTGACAAAGAAGTAGATGTTATGGATGGCTTCAAACTCTACATTACCTCCAAGCTGCCCAATCCCGCCTATACCCCGGAAATAAGTGCCCGGACCTCCATCATAGACTTCACTGTTACCATGAAGGGTCTGGAGGATCAGTTACTGGGAAGAGTCATCCTCACAGAGAAACAGGTGGTTGAAGCAAGGCCAATTCCAATTCTACACTACACTCAGCCTTTTATTGATAAAAATAATTTGAAAGTTGTTATAAGATTGAATTTCTCCCTTTATCTCCAAGATTTTTGTGTTTTGAGTCACAGTCTTAAATTTGGAAACTGCTTTAGGAGCCTTTAACCCAGCTTCCCAAATTCATATAATTCTTCAGTATTTATTTTGTAAAAGTAATTGTTAACCAATTCTCTCTCTCTCTCTCTTTCTCTCTCTCTCTGTTGTATATGAATGGTGCACATATTTATTAGTGTAAGTGCGTGCATGTGTGTGTATGGAGGACAGAGGTAGACATCTGGTATCTTTCTTCAATTGCTCTCTATGTATTAAGTTTTTTTAATTGAATTTTTGTGTATTTCATACAGAATATTTTAGTCAGTCTGAATCATCTTAATCAATCTTAATCATCATCCTCAGCTGCACCTATATGAGTGGTGCACATATTTATTAGTGTAAGTGCGTGCATGTGTGTGTATGGAGGACAGAGGTAGACATCTGGTATCTTTCTTCAATTGCTCTCTATGTATTAAGTTTTTTTAATTGAATTTTTGTGTATTTCATACAGAATATTTTAGTCAGTCTGAATCATCTTAATCAATCTTAATCATCATCCTCAGCTGCACCCTCTCATAGTCCCCCACCCCCAACTGGAGCCCATATACTCTGCCATCCTGTTAAGGCCCACTGTATCAAGTCAGTGTCCCCAGATGTTTCCCAGTGCAAGTCTATCCACTGAGGTCTAGTCGGCCTATCTAGAGTCCCTTGTTTTTGGAAGATCAGCTCTTCTTCACCTAGCAGCAATTAGTTGCCAATACTTCTTCAGATAAGATTGGGGTCTACTGTGTATTTCCCCAGTTCTATGCTGGGTTTTTGTCTGCCTGAGTTTACATGGGATTTGTGTACACTGATGACATTGCCATAGAATTATATGAGCAGGTTCCCAGGAGCTTGTAGGATTCTGTTTCCATATGGTCCTACATCTGCTCCCTGGCTCTTACAGTCTTTCCGCTCCCTGTTCCGGGATGGTCCCTGAGCCTTGGGTGGGTGGAGTTTAATAACAGATTCCTGTCCAAGGACCAGCATTCTGTAGACTCTTGATCCCTATGCTTTGGTCATTTGTGACCTTCTGTGTCCCTAGCCTTCTACCACATGAAGGAGCTTCATTAATGAGAACTGAGAGATTCATTAGTGTCTTCTTCTTTACCCCTGTTCTATGTTTCCTGAGCCTTAGGTGTAGAGGTTGCATTGTAGATGTGTCACTTAGGTCTGGACAACTCAGAGAATGTCCATGTGTGACCAGCTGTGGTACTTGGTAATAATCTCCAACTGGTGCAAAATCCACCTTTATTTTTTGAGACAAGGTCTCTCACTGAACCTGAAGCTTCTCAATTCAGTTTGGCTGGCTGACCAATGAACTTCAAGGATCTGCCTGTCTCCATCCTGCCTTCTCCATGCTGCAGTTACAGGCACCTACTACCATACTTGGCTTTTTATGTGTGCACTGGGAATGCATACTCAGGTCCTCAAGCTTATGGGGCACGCACTTTCCTGACCAAGCCATCTCCCAAGCCACATGTCTCATATATTTGCATAGATTACACACATCATTGATAATTTTCATAGATACTATATAACTGTAAGGATATGTCTCATTTTCTCTATCATTATCCTGGTGTTAATTTGTTTTGTTTTACAGAAAAGTTTATTCTGTTATCTATCTACCTGTTGACTTTGACTCTTTTTTGCTTTCATTTGATTATGGTGCTTTTAAGATAAAAGGTGTGAACCTTGCACTCAGACAAGAAACCTCAGTTCTTGTTACTGAAGAGAGCTCTACATGTGTTTGATGGGTCTGGTGTGTAAATTGTGAATTTAGAAGTTGTGGGGCAGGTAAGTTGGCTCAGTGGGTAAGACACCTGCTTCTAAGCCTGATGACCTGAGTTCTGTCCCTGTGCTGGATAGCTTTAGTGTCAACTTGACACACCTGGGTTGAGGGAGCCTCACTTGGGGAATTGCCTCTATTGGACTGGCCTGTGGCTGTATCTGAGGGGCATCTTCTTGATGAGCAATGTGGGAGGGCCCAGCCCACTGTGGGTGGTGCCACCCCTGGGCAGGTGGGCCTGTGTTGCATAAGAAAGCAGGCTGAGCAGGGGCCAGAGGAGCAAGCCAGTAAGCAGCATTCCTCCATGGCCTATGCTCCAGCTCCTGCCTCAAGTTCCTGTCCTGAGTTCCTACCTTGGGCTCCCTGATGAACTGTGATCTGGGAGATGTAAGACAAATAAACCCTTTCCTCCCCAAGTTGGTATTGGTCAGAGTATTTTGTCACAGCAATGAAGAACAAACTAGGACAGTCCCCAATATTTCAATGGTGGAAGGAGAATCAACTCTGACTTCTCCAGGTTGTCTTTTGACCTCCACATGTGTGTCATGGTACATGTGCCCCTGAAATAATGTAATAAAATAAAATAAATGAATCTAAAGCCTTGGTACTAGGATTGGGTCATATAGCTTTGAGGGCTGTTGTTCTAGATTAATTTCTGTTTCTGTGACAAATACCCAGACCAAAAGCAACATAGGGGAGGAAAAGGGTTGTTTCAACTTATAATTCAAGATCACTGTCCATCTTGAAGCAAGTCAAAGCTGAACTCAAGGCAGGAATTTGGAGGTGGACCTGCTTGCTATTCTCCATAGTGTTACTTCCAATCAAGGAACTCACGTCACAGCCAAAGAAGTGCAGCAGGAGCCATGGAGTTAGGCTGCCTGCTAGCAGCTTGAAGGCCAGTTTATACTCAGCTTTCTTACGCCATTCAGGATTACCTGCCTAGGGCTAGCACCACCTGTAGTGGGCTGGGGTTTTCTACATTGATTACCAAGATTCAGTCCCCCCCATACATGCCCACAGGGCAATCTGATCTGAGAAATTCTTCAAGTGAGGCTGTCCTCTCAGATGACTCTAGGCTGTCAAATTGGTAGTGAAAATGAATCAGGACAGCTACAGACTTAACCAAGCTCTGGAAACAACCCTGTGTCTGCTTCCTCCACTGCTGTTTTGTGGGCCAACTTAATGCGCAGTGAAAAATGTCTGAGAATTTATAAACTTGTTTTTTTTCTGAATCAGCATTTCCTCTAGGGAGCATGTGAGGCTTAGGCAGAGAAATGTAGAGGACTTTAATGAGACTACCATGGTGCGGTTGCAGGTTGCAGGAACTCCTAAAGTTGCTATCGACTTGCTCCTGGGCTCCAAAGCAATGAGGTCATTTACCTTTATGGCCTTTTCTATGCTGACCTGAAGATTTATTAGGTTAAAACTATTGGCAAAACTCCTTGAGGCTATACCTCCTCCCGTTTTCATGTTTCCTGCATCTATATCAGACTTGCTCTTTTGAGCCCTACCATTAGAAGGGAGAGAGAAAGTTTCTCCCTCCCTCCCCACTCCGTCCCACCCTCTTTTTGTAGCTCCATGTATCTGTAGCCCCCCCACACACTTTTTTTCTCTTCATGAATCTTCTCTCTTTATTCTTAATTTACAGCACGTGAATGACAGTCATGAAATTGGAACTTGCTTTTGGGAGCCTTTAACCCAGCTTCATAAATTCACATGGGTGGTTGACCTCAGTGTAGCAGGAGCCAGTACTGTGGTTCCCATTATAGTTGTTGAGGAAAAAACAGCCTTTGTAGTGTGTTTTTGCTACTTTCCTGAGTTAAATCTCACAGAAGCAGTTGATAAAATCCAATAGTGCTGTACCACTACTTCAGGAAGGACAGTTTTTAAAAAATTTAATTAGCAGCCTGTGCTGTTGAGCATTGGAATCCCGAGGGTCTTGCATGCTAGTTCTATCACTGGAACCCTAGGCTCTGCTGCCCTTGGCAGCCTTGGCTTCAGAGAGATAAGGGGCCCTGGTGGCAGTTTGCATGATGTAATTGTCCTTGGTTTTCTTATATTGTATTGAGATGAATACAATTTCTCTGGAAGAAATAATTTGGTCTGACAGATGTTGGTTGCAATAAAACAAAGCAAAAGCAAAGCCAACAAAAACACCAGCAGCGCCCAGCTTCAGTGGAGACCTTAAGGTAGCAAGCAGTCCTTTAAAAAGACTTTGGTCAGCCTTACAAAGTCAGTATGGGTTCAGGGCTGGCCTTTTCCCTCTTTCTTGGGAAAATAGAATGTCCTGAGAAAATTCTTCCCTTATTAAGCTCTCACTAGCAGAATCTATTTCACTTTCAAAATAAATAATTCTTTAAAATGTTGTGAGAGTAGTATGATAGTCTTTTTTTTTTTTTTTTTTTTTTTTTTTTTTTTTTTTTTAATCCTTTTATTAGAATCTTTTTCTTTTTTTAAAAAAAAAATTTTTTAAAATGTTGTGGGGTTAGTAGTATGGTTTTTTTTTTTTTTTTTGTCTTTTTGAAGCAGGGTCTCCCTGTGGCCCCAGCTGTCCTGGATCTCACTTTGTAGACCAGGCTGGCCTTGAACTCATGGAGATCTGCCTGCTTCTGCATCCCAAGTGCTGGGACTACAAGCGTGCGCCAGATAGTCTTTAAACAACAACAACAACAACAGAACCCCCAAAACCAAAACCAAACCTAAAACAAAGCAACAATACTAGATCAGCAGCCACTTTATTTCTCCATGTTTTATGGTTGAAGTATCTGATGTCTTCAGCAATAAGATCTTTCCATCAAGTTCTGGAGGGTAACCAAGAGCAATGGCAATAACCTGAAATGTTTGAGGGGGATGGCTATACAATCCCACTGGCCAAAGAAATGAGCTTTGGGGCCTCTCTCTCTCTCTCTCTCTCTCTCTCTTTCTCCTCTCTCTCTGCCTGTGGAGGTCAGAGGTCAACTTCCAGCGTTGCTCATCAGGCACCATCCACCGTGTTTTACAAGATGGGTTCTCACTGGCTTGGAACTTACCAAGTAGTCTAGGCTGGCTGGCAGTGAGCCCCAGGGATCTTCTTGTCTCTTCT